TGTCAAGATTATAAGCGTACTCTGTTATAATATGTTAAATAAAACTTTAATATAATTTCTACGCTTTGCATCATTCGCAGAGATGCATAATGTAACTGACGTCAGTTTATAATTAATTCATTTCAGGAGAGGAATACCAAAGCTATCGCGATGCATTCATCGATCATTAAATCGCAAAATAAAATAGAAATATTATAATGGAATGCCTGAATTAAATATCGGATAAATATTTTCTTTATGTTACCGGGAGAGTAATTTTCACAAACGCGAAAAATGAAATTGTCACATTGTTTCCGCCCGGGACACGTGTTACACACGGTTACGTCACATTTGTTCCGACACATTTTCGTGAGAGAGACCGAGAGTGACAATCGCTTGCATTCATGGGGGAGCGAATTAAAACTCGCTACAGCTCGTTAATCCAGTTACACGCCGTAATAGCGCACGCGGAAGCAGCGAACAAAAACGTTATTCAATAGCGGCCTAAAAAGAGAAAATATAATCGTAGTTTGAGCTCGCAGCGTGACGGTCGGACGATTCCTTTGGACAAACGTTTTCACGGCGAAGTTACAACGAAATGTCAATATTCGTACAAGTGCAAGGTCGACCGTAAATTATACAAATTATTTTCTTTTTAGGAAACTAAAAATATGCATAATGTATTCATGTATTTCATATTTTCCGATCACGTTCAGGCGATAAGATATTTTTGCATCGCGAGTATATTTCCACCCGTATCCTACAAGTCGATACTAACAAACAAATCACTCGTTTAACACGTTTATCGGTAATAATCAATCTTTATTATCCCGATACGAGTTACTTTGCACGATAGATCACAGCAATTCGCATTCTGAATCGTAATACTACACAAAACTGTGTACACACCTTCACTTTCGCTAGATAAGTTATACACAGGGTGTCCGTAATTAACGTATAATATTTTATATTCGGAAAATTAGCTTGTTCCGCCATTCTTTATCTTTTATTTACGAGCTGGTCTCCCACGTTATTGTATTCACATAAATTACAGATATACAGGGTGGGCCATTTTAATTTATACAGTC